GTGGGTGTGGGGGTAGGGGAGCTGGGGTGGATGTAGGGCTCTGGGTGTTGGGTATGGGTGTGGATGTGTGGGGGTGGGTGTGGGTTCGTGCCAGGATGGGTGGGTGGGTGGGTGCATGCACATGTGTGCATAAATTCATACAAGTCTATGAAGTACGCCGTACGTCGTACATCGGTTTTGTCGTACGGCTGTTCGAACGGATGCGCGAACGGCTGTATGGCCGTTCGTACTGAAGCCGTACTTTGCTGCATACTCCAAGAAAAAATGAGCAAAAAAAAAAAAGAAAAAAAAGGGGTTGTAGAGCACAAAAAGCTCTACACCCCCCGTTTTTTTCTTTTTTGGTCTTTTGCAAGGAAAATGAGCGGTAGTGAACTTCAGAAATCAAACAGCATTATACGCATGAAACCAGATAGTCGTGACCTCGAACCGAAAGCAAAATTGCATCATGAGTTCCACCAAATAAGAGCACAGCAAAAGCTCATAAGTGACAATGCTGGAATAGTTTCATCATCATCAACAAAGAACCAATGTCGATATCCTATCTGGCGCTCGGCCCCCAGCCTACAAATGGGAGATCCTATCTAGCCTATCTACAATGCTGCTGATGACGTCAACAGCTCCCCAAAGTACGAGCAGATCTCCGCCAATGCCGTTCGCCTCAAGCACCAGGTATGTCTCTCGCATCACTCACAACCTCAATCCCCCACTCACAGATGCCACATGCACCCCATCCAGCTTACAGCAGCGCAGCTTGGCTATGGCTGCCTGCTCCTTCCAGCTCGCCCGTGAGCGCGTGAGCGCTGGCCAGCGTTAGCGCAGCAGCGCTTGCGCAGCATGCAGCCAGTGTCCGAATGCCGAATGCGTGGGCAGGCACTTTCCTAAATGGAAGTGGCCTGCCTGCTTGCATGCAGCCTGGCTGCGCTGGGCCCCTGCCCAGAAGCTTCCGGTAGGCCCAGAGAGGCTGAGCCCCAGTCCAACCCTGGGCCTGTGGTGGTTGCTCGTGTCCAACCTGTGTTCGGTCCATGTAGCGAATCTGGCCCAGGGCCTGTCTCAGTTACATTCAAAAGAGGCAGCCTGGGCCTGGGCGCTCTCAACCAACTGGTGCTGCGCAACTGCCTGAATTTCCCCAGTTGCATGGTGACCCCAAAAGTGGGCCTGTAGGCCTTGGTCGAGCCTGCCTTCACTTAGGGCGGCCGACTGTACTGAAAATAGGGCCCAATATGGCGTATCGAGGCCTGGAGCCTCGCATTCCCTCCTCCATACTTCGCTAGTCCTCTGAGAAGTTCATTCAATCTGGCGCTTTCCTTTCTGCAGTAACTTCTCATAGCGGGCGACAACCTGAGGTGCGGTCTGCATCAGTTCTTCCCGTGCGAACCATCTATTCTCCTTTGGATCAATGTGATGTCTGAACCGAACTCGGTACTGCAGCTTCGGCTGCGGAGGGCGTCCCCTGCCTGTCGATCTTGGAACCAACATTTCTCTGTGGTCCACGATGTCGTCGATGTCGACCTCTCCGTCCATGGTTGGGGGCAGCATTGAGCGACGAGTGGGAAACTGATCAGTTTCTTCGAATGGTGCAAGCTTAGAGGCGTGAACAACAGGGTAGGTATGAAGGTGTCCAGGGATCCGAATGACATATGAGGGTCTGTCTGGTTCATTCCCAACTACATCCAGAACCTCCCATGGCCCAAAGTACTGTGGCATGAGTTTAAAGGGAGATCCCGTGCTCCTGTCCTAATTCAGAAGCCTTGACCCAGACCCTGTCCCCTACCTGGAACGTAGATGGGCGGCGGTGCTTGTTCTCAGATTCGATCATTGCTGCCTGTGCTTTGTGCATGTGTTCTACCGCCTGCTGCATATGATTCTCATATCTATAGGCAAATTCCAAAGTGCCTGGAGCAGCAGTGGGCTGCTTCTCAGGTAGCAGAAAGTCGAGAGGGAGTCTAGGTTTGAACGTTAGTAGTAGGCTGTTAGGACTTACTCCCGTTGCACTGTGAACTGCGTTGTTGTACAAGTTGGCGATGAGACCGAGTTTCTCATCCCAGTCCACTTGATTAGGCTTAATGTAGTGCGTCAACAAGTGTTGAACAGCGCGGTTCATCTGTTCTTCCTGTCCATTTGCTTCCGGATGGTTTCTAGATGTCATCTGCAGCTGCGTTCCTTGTTCGGCAGCTGCGGCCTTCCACAGATCACTGGTGAATCGAACATCCCTGTCGCTGATTATAGACTTTGGCAAGCCAAAATCTCTAACCCAGTTCTCCTTAAATAGCCTGATAACGTACGCGGTCTTTGCTGTTTCTGGCATAGCTAGTAATCTAGCATACTTACTACATCTATCCACGATGACGTAGATGTATCTCATGCCACTCTTGCTGGTGACTAGCGTATCCATGAAGTCCATGGACAGGCTTTCTCCAGGTCTTTCCGGATTGGGAAGGGGCTTGAGAAACCTAAGAGGAGCCTGCGTCCAGGGCTTGTCACGTTGACAAACTTGACAAGTCTCGACATACAGTTTGGCATCTTTCATCATCGTGGGCCACCAGAATCGCTGCAACAGGTTGGCTGCAGTCTTCTTAAAGCCAAAATGTCCGGTGGCATCATGACATTCTCCTAAAAATAAACTACGCAAAGACTCTCTATTAGGAACACACAAACGTTTATTCCCGACCTTCTCAAGGAACAGCAGGCCGTTGACCAACTCAAACTCCACAAAAGTCATTTTGTCCTTCGCCTCGAGTCTGTGTATGATCTCGACCATGAACGGATCCTCGCGATAGGCTTCCACCAAAGAGCGAGTAACATCGTCTGCAAGCCCAAGCTCGGTGATCAGCGCACCAGAGAAGTCTGGCCTACGTGACAGCGCATCAACAACTTTATTGTACTCACCTTTGAGATACTGGGGCTCGAAGTCATATTGCTCAATGACTTCGATCCAACATTTTAATGCATCGGAGAGCACTGGCGAGGTTCTCATCCACTTCAGGGTCTGATGATCAGTCCTGACATAGAAGAACCTCCCAAGAAGGTAGTGCCTCCAATGGGTTAGCGCTTTATAGATCGCGTACAACTCCTTCTCATAGGTGGACTTAGCGACTTCTGAGAGGACATCTTCATGGACATGTACTCCACTGGCCTCAACTGTGGCCCCTCCTGCTGCGCGAGCACGGCGCCTATGCCATATTGGCTAGCCCTTGTGGTGACTATAAACGGCTTATCAGGATTGGGAAGTTTCAAGACCTCGTGGTGTGTCAACACATGCTTCAGATGCCTGAAAGCAGCCTCACACCTATCTCTCCACTCCTAAGGGGTGTCAAGGCGGGTCAGATACGTCAAAGGGGCGACAACTATACTATAGTTCTTCACAAAATTAGGATAGTAGCCGGTCATCCCTAAGAAGGACCTCATCTCAGTCACAGACTGAGATGGCGGCCAGACGCGAATGCTGGCCACCTTCGTGTCAACGGGCTTCAATCCCTGCATGGAAATCTCATGACCCAAGTACAAGATACGGGTGCGGCCAAAACTCACACTTCTCCCCGTTTATCTTGAACTTGTGTTGTCGAAGGAGGCTAAGGACTTTGTCTAAATGACCAACGTGCTCCTCGACAGTCCTACTGAAGATAACTATGTCATCGAGGTACACGATGACAAACTTGCCCAGGTAGTCATGAAAGATCCGATTCATTGCATGCTGAAAGGTGCCAGGAGCATTGCAAAGGTCGAAAGGCATCACCACAAACTCGTACAGGCCGTGACTGGTCTGAAAAGCGGTTTTGTGTTGATCCTCAGGCCGTATTGCAATTTGATGGTACCCGGACTTCAGATCTATCTTACTGAAGTACCGACACCCTTGCACTCAGTCCAACAAGTCATCGATGCGCGGTAGGGGCTCTCGGTTCTTGACAGTGATGGCCTTGAGGCCCCTATAGTCAACGCACATCCTCAAAGTTCACCCCTTGTTCGATACAAATAAGACAGGAGATCCGTAAGGGGAGACACTCGGTCGGATCCAACCCTTCTCTACGAGTTCCTTGAGCTGCCGGCGAAGCTCATCAAGCTCGCCTGGAGACATCCGATAGATCCTACCCTTCAGAATGCTAGACCCTGGGATAATCTCTATCGCGTGGACGACCTCCCTCTCAACAACCCCTTTAGGCTCTTCGAATAGATCAGGGTACTTAGCGACTACTCCCTCTACAACATTTTCACCGGCTCGCCTGCTGCAGAGACATAAACTAAATACATACCCTCCTCCATATTTTCTCTATACTCCTAAAGCAAGCAAAGGGCCTGGCGTGACGCGTCCCGCTGGGCCCAGCGAAAATTGGTGGGGAGGGCCGCGGGACCAGGGCGAGGAAAATCGGCGAGGCGTTTCGTGGAGGCCCGGCGCGGCATTTCGTGGGGAGGGTCGCGGGACCAAGGCAAGGAAAATCGGCGAGGCGTTTCGTGGAGGCCCGGCGAGGCGTTTCGCGGCGGCACCAGAGACCGTGGCGCGAGGAAACTGGCGGTGGCGGTTTGTGGAGGCCCTGGGAAAGGGAAAAAGGTGGCGGTGGCGGTTTGTGGAGGCCCTGGGAAAGGGAAAAAGGGCCTGGCGCGGCGTTTCGCGGCCGCAACAGAGACCGCGACGCGCGGAAATTGGCGGTGCCGGTTCGTGGAGGGCCTGGGCAAGGGGAAAATGACGAAGGTGATAAGGGTTCGCGGACTTTTTTGCGTGGGTGCGGGGTAGCATGGTGCGGTGCGTGCGTGGGCCTGCAGGCTTTTTCCCCTGGGCGCCGGACGAGGGAGGGTCTGTAGGGGGGGTACGGGCTACGGTACCGCACGCCATGGCCTGAAAGTGCCGCGCGGCCCGCAGACTTTTTTGCATGGGTGTGGGGGCAGCGGGACGACACAGGGTGTAGGGGGGGTACGGCCTACGGTCGGTGAGGTCTGGATGTTGGGAGGAAAGATGCACGCAGCGGCCATCTTTCACGTCGTGTGAGGTGGCCGATGGTGGAATGTCGATGTCGGAGTGCAACGATGCATGGAACAGGCGGTGAGCGAGAGGCCGCAAGGGAAGCACGCGCTGTTGAGACGGAGCGGCCAACCTATAAAGTGTGAGAGAGAGCGAGAGAGAGAGAGAGCGCGACACGATCCAGAGCAGCGACGCATGGTTGAGAGAGAGAGAGAGAGGGAGAGGAAAACATCAATGCGGTGTGTGTGGGAGACACAGAGAGAGATCGCGCACGCGTGAGAGAGAGAGAGAGAGAGAGAGAGAGAGAGAGAGAGAGAGAGAGAGAGAGAGAGAGAGAGAGAGAGAGAGAGAGAGAGAGAGAGAG